GCAGTGCCAGGGTGCCATCTGCACCCGGAGGCCTAGGGAGGCAGCATGAAAGCCCGCAGGGCCGGGGGGTCCGGCTGCGCCCTTAAGCCTGGGGAGGCCGCTAGAAAGCCCGCAGTGCCTGGGGGCCAGCTGGGCACAGAGGCTCGGGGAGGCCGCCTGAAATCTCGCAGGGCCTGGGGTGCCATCTGTGCACGGAGGCAAGGGGAGGCCGCATGTAGGTCCGCAGGACCCATGGGGAGAGCTGCGCATGGAGGCCGTGGGAGGCCGCACAAAAGCCCGCAGGGCCCGGTGGGCCAGTTGCACACGGAGGCCCAAGGAGGCAGCACGAGAACCCGCTGGACCTGGGAGGCCAGGTGCTCGTGGAGGCCCGGGGAAGCCTCAAGAAAGCCCCCGGCCCTGGGGTTCCAGCTATGCACAGAGGCCCAGGGAGGCCGCACGAAAGCCCGCAGGACCCAGGGGCCAGCTGAGCACAGAGGCCTGGGGAGGATGCATGAAAGCCCGCATGGCCCTGGGGTGCCATCTGCACACTGAGGCCCAGGGAGGCGGCACGGAAGCCCGCAGGGCCTGGGGGTCCAGCTGTGCATGTAGGCCTGGGGAAGCCTCAAGGAAAACCCCAGGCCCTGGGGTTCCAGCTGCACACAGAGGCCTGGGGAGGCCGCATGAAAGCTCGCAGGGCCCGGGGGGCGAGCTGCACAGGGAGGCCCTGAGAGGCCGCTCGAAAGTCCGCAGGACCCATGGGGACAGTTGCACATGGAGGCCCTGGGAGGCCGCATGAATGACCGCAGGGCCTGGTGATCCTGCTGTGCATGGAGGCCCAAGGAGGCTGCATGACAGCCCGCAAAGCCTGGCGCGGGACCAGCTGCGTGTGGAGGCCCGGTGAGGCCGCATGAAACCTCGCTGGGTCCGGGGGCCAGGTGCACACGGAGGCCCGGGGAGGCTGCATGAGAGCCCGCAGGGTCTGGGTGGACTGCTGCGCACAGAGGCCTGTGGAGGTGCCCGAAATCCAGCAGGGCCTGGGATGCCATCTGCGGACGGAGGAAAAGGGAGTCTGCATGAAAGCCCGCAGTGCCCGGGGGTCCAACTGGGCACGGAGGCCCGGGGAAGCCGCAAGAAAGTCCTGAGTGCCAAGGGTTCCAGCTGCACACAGAGGCCCAGGGAGGCCGCACGAAAGCTCGCAGGGCCCGGGGGGCCAGCTGTGCATGGAGGCCCAAGGAGGCTGCATGAAAGTTCGCTGGGCCCGGGGGGCCAGGTGCACACGGAGGCCCGGGGAGGCTGCTAGAAAGCCCGCAGGGTCCGGGGCCCTCGCTGCGCACGAAGGCCCGGGGAGGCTGCCCGAAATCCAGCAGGGCCTGGGGTGCCATCTGCAGACAGAGGAAAAGGGAGTCCGAATGAAATCCCGCAGTGCCCAGGGGACCAGCTGTGCCCGGAGGCCCATTGAGGCCACATGAAAACCTGCAGGACCCATGGGGCCAGCTGCCCACGGAGGCCTGGGAAGGCTGTACGAAAGACTCCTGGGCCCAGGGGTCCAACTTGGGATGGAGGCCCAGGGAACTCTCAAGAAAGCCCCTGGCCCTGGGGTTCCAGCTGTGCACGGCGGCCCGGGGAGGCCGCACGAAAGCCCGCAGGGCCTGGGAAGGTAGCTGCAGAGAGGCCCGGGGAGGCTGCATGAAATCTCAGGGGCCCGTGGGTCGAGCTGCACACACAAGCCTGTGGAGGCAGCATGAAAGTCCGCAGGACCCATGGGGCCAGTTGCGTACAGAGGCCCGGGGAGGTGGCATGAAAGTCTGCAGGACACATGGGGCCAGGTGTGTACGGAGGCCCTAGGAGGTGGCACGGAAACCTGCAGGACCCGGGTGTCCAGCTGCGCATGCAGGCT